TTCCTCTATCACATGCCAACATAAAATTACGGATCCGAGCGATACGCTCTCGTGGAGAGTTCGACAAAAAGGCCGTGTTTTAACAATTTTAACGTTAAATATCTCAGCTTGTATTTGAGCCAGCGAGCCCAAATTTTATATTTAGAGTCAGGACGTGGTACAGAACGGCCACGTAAAATTTCATAGAAATCGGACAACTTTTATTTACGAAAGGTCCCCCCTTAAAAGGCCTCCGCAGAGTGGCACTTCCCTCCGGTACACCGTTAAGGTGGCTCTCGAGAGATGCTGGGGCTGGGGGAACTCCCCGCCCGGACGGGAAAGGATCGGCAAAACTGTCGCGAGCTGTCAGGCGGTGTCCTCCGCACGTTTTTAGGGACACAGCCCGGTCGAGCGCCTGCAAAGTGCGGGTTAGGCAACCCCGCCGCGCGCCGCCGCTCGACAGGACTGCCTGACCCGCAGGCGCTCCGCGCCTCTGCCCCGCAGGCCCAGGCCGTCGAGTCGGTGCGGCCCAGCTCCGACGTCCAGGAGTCTCTCAAGGGCCCGCTGCCGGACGCCATCGCCCTGCCCGCGGCACCGGCGGCGCCACCCGCGGCAGTCGGCGGCAGTGCGGGTGCCAACGGCGCGATGCAGTCGACCAGCAACGCGCCGCGCCGCCCCAACGACAAGCTCGCCGCCATCAAGCACAAGACGGGAGGACTGCTGCCGCACGAGCGCAGCGACGCAGCGTGAGTTGTTGCTACTGAGCATCGATGAATTATCCGACACATTGAAAATAAAGTGGGGCTGTTGGCTTTTTCGCATCCAAAAGGCCGCTGGAGCTGCCCCCTTGGGACGCGGCCGCCGCCCGTGGGGAGGAGGTCGCCGACGATAGCCAGGAGGAGGAGGACCTGGAGCCGCGGTCCACCACGGCAGTGGAGGCGCGTGCCGCCCCCGCGCCGCCGGCCCCGGTCCCCGCAGGCTCGAGCCCCGTGGCGCCGCCCCCGCCGGGCACCCGCCCCACGCAGAGCCAGGGCGTGCGGCCCGCCGGCACCGTGTCCGTGGCGCACCTGCACTGCGGCCTCGGCTACTACCGGGACCAGACCGGCCGCTGCCGCCGCGCAAGGCGCCCCTCCTCGTAAGTGTCTCTGGGTCGCAAACCCTCGCCCCTATTGGCTGGAAAAGGCCTTCGTAGAGCTTATTTTCTGTTTGTTTCAGGTCCAACACTCGTAAACACCACCATGGCACCAGGAGGCACCGACCTGCCCCCGTCCAGGGCGGCGCCAAGCCTGCCGCCGCCGCACCCGCAGCAACTCCTGTGTCCGAGCCTGTGAAGGACCTGCCGTCCAAGGAATCCTCTGTCAAGCAGGCGGCCCCCGTTACCAAGGACACTGCCACAAAGACCTCAGCGCCTAAGCAGGACGCCATCGTTTCGGACTCGAAGGAATCCGTAAAGGAGGCAACCCCGATTTCTGGCACCCCTGCCAAGGACCCCGTCGGTGAGTCGGCGAGTCCAGTGCCCGCCGCATCGCCATTGGCTGTCGCAGCGAAGCCCGCCGTGAAGGAGGCGGTCAAGGAGCCCGTGAAGGAGGCCCTCAAGGAGGTGGTGAAGGAGCCCGTCAGCGCGCACAAGGCCCAGCCCGTGAAGCAAGCCCCGGCGAAGCAGGCCGCAGCCGTCAAGGTGCCGGTCCAGGACCGCATCGCCAGCAGCGGCCACAAGGCGAGCAGCACAGTCAGCGGCAACGTGAACGTGAAGGAGGCCGTCAAGATGCAGCCCGTCCAGCTGAAGGCGCCCCCTAAGCCACCCCTGAGGGAAGCTCCCGGGGTCAAGCCGCAGCGACAGCAGCCCAACAAGCCCGTGGCAGCGGCCGTCAAGGACAAGGAGGCCCCGAAGGTGTCCCACCACCACGGCCAGCACAAGATCACCGTCATCAAGGAGGACACCAAGCCCCGCAGCCCGCCCGCGCCCGTCAAGGTCGCCGTCAAGGCAGCATCCCCGACTGCAGTGGCCTCCCCTGCCACCCCCGTAAAGAAGAACTGATCCTCTTCTCTGCGGTGTCACTGATCGATTTGATTATTGGTAATATTCGATCGATTTTTGGTGGGATGTGCAAAGTATGCTCAGGGGCAGGGTGAGAGTGTCTACATCGCTCCCTTGTCTACTTTCCGTCGGAAAGTAAATGAAGGGCCTTCTAGATCCGCCCATGAGAGAAGGGCGCCCTGGAGTCCCAGCTTTTTCCCCGTAAGAACCCGCCTGACGGACTTTGGCAACACCCCGACGCCGCTGCATTGGTCGAAGACCATTTCCAAGGTCAGTGTCGGATTCAGCACATTTAGACGAAGAGGAAGATGTGCTTTGTGATACCGTTTGAAAACCCGGGAGCCGGCCTGAGCACTTGAAACCTACTACGAGGGGCGCGGGCCGGCCTCGGGCGC